AACATCGTTGATGATATGTCATCTCTCCCAGCTTTGCCCATTTAGACTCACGTGGATGTTCATTTTGACCCRGGCCCTTTCCACAGGGACTGATTTTTCTCTGCAATTCCCAACAAGCTGATTCTGCGGGAACAAAGCTAACTAAAGGCAGGATTCCGTCAAACTCCCTGGCTCCGTTCTTCTTTTCCCAGTGGAGACGTTTCATTGGTGAGAACAGGTCCACAGAGCCCTTCAGGCGGTGCGCATGGGTCAGCAGGGAGCTCCCAGAGAAGTTCTTCCAAAGGTGGACGAGCAGAAAATGAGTCCCTGTTTCCGTGTCCTCTCCTGCAGAGGGCCCAGTCCGCATCAGGAACTGTTTTGGGACAGGGCTGGGGGCTGGGGGGCATCGGGGATTGAACCCCAGCTCTTAAGAGCGTTTCTTTGTTCCATAGGTAAGAAGAGGCTCAGAGATGGGAATCCCCACTTCTGCATTCCAGGTGTCGGTACTAGTCCACTTGAGCGGCTGGGCGTCCTGGTACGGGTTCTCTTCCTCATGGAGGGCCACGATTTGCCATCAGGGAGGGCAAAAGGCAGATCTCCTGGGCCCTGTGTGTGTGTGTGTGTGTGTGTGTGTGTGTGTGTGTGTGGTGCTGAACCCAGGGCCTTGGGCAGGCAAAGCAAGCGCTCTACCAGCTGAGCTACGTCCCCAGCCTCCTGGGCCCCTTTTTTAAGAGCACCCATCTCCACCTCCTCACACCATCACTTAGGTCCGGGCACATGGACCTCCCACTCTACAGACACGGATCCGTCCATCTTTAACCAGACCCTGCAAAGACAAGGAAGTCTCACAGGCTGCCCGTCCCCAGTGTTCAGAGGTGTGTGAGCGGAGATGGTCTGATGCTGTGAATCAACACCCAAGTCTCGGGGACTCACAGGATAAAATGCGTCCCTCCTCCCAGCCCCCGCAGGTGGGAGGAGGAGATTCTGCTCCACACAGACCTTCAGGGACCCAGGGAACCCTTTTCTCCAGTGGCCCTGTCACCACGAGGGCCTCCCAGGCTGTCAGACCGTCTCCATCAGCCCCCGATGAAGGAGGGAGAGAYCTGAAGGAAGGTACCACAGACTTAGGGACCAGCCACTTCCACCCACATGACATTTGTCACACTCGGCCTCTGGGGCCACACCCCCTTGCCAGGGAGGCCGAGGGACACTGCGGTTTAGCTGGAGCCCATAAAAGAAAGGACAGGGTGGACAGGCTGTCCTACTGTGTTTAAATGCACACACTCACAGCCATCTGGTCGACCCTGATCGGGAGACAGAAATCACTTTTCCACCACAAACTGATTCAGGAACCTGAGCCCAGCTGGGAGCTGGCACGCATGCACATGCTTTATCATTAAAGGTCCACAGCCAAGGACAGCTTCACATTTTCCACCACTTAGTCTCCTTCTGACGATTTTCTTTAGCAAGTACATTTTTTTCCCCACGTATTTAACCAAAACAGTGCAAATCTTACAGCAGGCACACAAAGTACCTCCTCCACGAAGAATAATTGTGTGTGTGCGTGTGTGTGTGTTACTCTAGTGAATCTAATCATTTACTATTAAAGCTTTCCAAGGCAAAGGTATGATCTGCAGATCAAAAGTAAAGATCTAAAGTCATTCTCCAGATGTCCAGGCAAACCCGTGGGTCCTCAGCCTCTGCCTCCTTATGTCCAGTGCTTTGGGGCTGGAAGGGTAGGAAGATGAGCAGGGGGTCCCGGCGTCCATGTGTGTACYGAGGGGCAGGTAGGGTGCCACAGTACCTGCCTCAGGTGTGATTTTTTTCTCAGAGATGAGGGCCACATCCAGAGACCGCAGAAGTTGGTACCCAGACAGTCAATGGGCACACGGAGGTCGTATCCACGAGGTGAAGCGTCAGGTCGGGTTTGGGAAAGGAGCATCACTGAGCTGGGAAGTTTCCTGCCATCGAAGAGTTGGGGATGTCATGATCGTCTCCTCCTTGTGACCACAGACCTGCTCAGGGGACGGGGGCGGACCCACAGAGCACCCCAGAGCCCAGTGGCTGGATCAGCAAGCCTGGGTCCTCTGGTTGGGTCTCTAGCGGTCAGGAATTCGATGGTGGCTGGCCAGGGCGTCTCTGGCTCAGGTCCCCGGAGGGCGGGGCTGTAGCACTGGGGCTGGCAGCGTCCCCTGGCCATTGGCCACCCCTGGGAGCTGCTTGTGTGTCCTCGCAGATGTCACTGGCTTCCTCCAGAGCCAGCAAAGCCAGAGAGAACAGGGCAGGTGGCGTCTAAGACACAGCTCAGCGTGACCTCCCTCCTGATCTAGGGAGGAGGCAGGATCCGGGAGAGGGGACGGAACCCCTGCCTCTCCGTGGGGGAGGGCCACAGCCACACTGCAGGAAAAGCTGACCAGAGGGGACACGGAGGGGTGAAGGGACCTTTGAAGACACAATCATCCCCAGGGCCCAGYGTGCAGATGCCTCTGCTTATCTAAGCCTTGGAGAATCGTGGCTTAGAAAGGTGACATCACACGGCTACGCTCCGACCAGAGGAGGAGAGGGGAGGGAGTCTGAGCCTGGAGCACACCCCCAGCACYGTGCTAGAAAGTTCTTCCCCAAGGGGGGCTATTTTTAATGCCGCTCTCTGGGCTGCACACTCAATGTGACCCCTGAGCTGGAGGCAGACAAAGCCCAAGTCCAAGTACYGAGAAAGGAGATGCTTCCCGGTACGGCTAGTGCCCACGCCATCAGGAACGATGATCCCAGGGCCTCCCACCCTCCTCCGAACCTCCAGCCTTGGTCAAAGTTCTGCTGAAGCCCAGTGCAATGGCGCACGCCTGTGATCCCAGGGGATCAGGAGGCTGAGGCAGGAGGATGGTGAGTTCAAAGCCAGCCTCAGCAACTTAGCGAGGCCCTCAGCAACTCAGTGAGACCCCATCTCTAAATAAAAACACAAAAAAAGGGTGGGGGATGAGGTTCATTGGTTGAGCGCCCCTGGGGCCAATCCCCAATACCAAAAAAAAAAAAAAAAAAAAAAAGGTCTGCCTAATGCTTGATTTTGAAGAGAAAAAAAATCCCTCTGTCTCAGGTCCCAGGGACATGCTCTATGTCGACTGCGGAGAGGGAATGGCAGAGGAATCACCTTCAAAAGAGCTCTCTGGCTTCAGCCCTCCAGCAAACTACTGCACAGTAAGATTCAGGAGTCSAGGAACACAGTGGCCAGGACCCTCCAGCCCTGTCCCAGGAGCAGCTGGTGACTCTGCGCCGTCAGAAGTCCACCTGGGCCATGGCTGGTCCCCAGCCCCTTCCTCTTCTCACCACACAACTGGACTTTGGGAAAACATTCTGGGTGGGGTCACTGGGTACAGGACCAAGAAAGGGCTAAGAAACCTCCTGCCGGCAGCCGTCAGTGACTTCAGATCTTAAGGATGAAGACAAGCCCCCGTCCTCTGGTCTGCAGGGGACTGTCCAGGCCAGTCGGGGTTTAGGAGGGAAGGGACAGAGCTGCGTCCTGGAGACACTGGGTAAAGGCTAGTTCGCCATCTCTTCTGGACGGTCCCCCTGTGGCCCCAGGTTGGACCTTCGCCTTCCACTTCAACCGACGGGGCTCAGGGCTCCGGGCTGAAGGCCTCCTGACCACCACTTGGTCCAGGAGCAGCTTGCTGACTCAGGGCTCTGGGGCCTTGAGTCCCCGCTGTGCCTTTGCCAGGGACTGGGGAGGTGACAAGCAGGTCCGTCCACCCTGCTTCATCTCCCTGCCCTTTGCCCCTGACCACCCTGATCTCTGGTCCTTCCCCAGAGACCCCTGACGTCTCCTCCCTGAGCAGCCTCTGCACTGGGGAGGACAGGGTCCTGGGCTCTGCCCGCTGAGCAACCCCACTCGCTGAGACGTTGGGGACACAGACCCGACGTTTCCACCCACCCGAGCCAGGACTCGGGTTCCTGCTCCACCAGGTTGTGCAGCGGAGGCCTGAGCCTTCTGTGCGGAATTCCCTTCCTGAGGCCAGGCACACCCCAGCCTGCAGCCCTGAGGCAGAGGCAGGGCCACAGCCAAGGATTCTTCCTTGAACCAGAGACTGCGYCCCGCTCCGCAGCTCACGCCCAGGTGTGGTCACCAGCCTGCGCTGAGCACGTCCAGGGAGCGGGCACCTGGGGGTCAGTCCAGATGCCCGGTGACCACTCACATTTCCTTGTTGCCCTGCAAAAGCTCGCTCCTTGACCCGAGTTGGCAGAGCCCCCCTGTCTCCAAATCCTACAGCTCCTGGTCACAGGCCAGGCCCCACCCTGCCAGAGACAGGAAGTCCAGCTGCCCAGAGCACMGCCTGCACCGGCCTCAGCGAGCTCACGGGGCTGGGGAAGGGGCCGGAGGCAGAGGAACAGAGTGCAGGGCCCCCCAGCACGGCAGATCCGGGCTTCCAGGAAGAGATGCCTTTCAGGGGCCTGCAGTGGGCCTCGGGTTCTCCCAGGAGCCCAGGGCTGTGCCCAAGGCAGTGTCCAGCTGGTCAGCCTCCAGAGACAAGAGGCCAGAAGGCAGAGGCCCTGGGGAACCCAAATCCCYGGCGGTGGACATGGATGGGGGAGCATCTCCTGGAGGTCACTCTATCAGTAGGTCCCCGAAACCCACGGCCCTCCCCAGGGACCCAAGAGGAGCGCCCGCTCACCCACCCCAGCTTGCTCTTGGGCCTCCCAGGTGGCTCCGCGGTGGGAACGGGTCTTTGCACCTCTGCTGGGGGCTGAGCCTCAGGCCTAGCTGCACTCCCYTGGGGCAGGGTGGGGCTGTTAAAAGCCAGGAAAATAGGGATGAAGACTTCAGGGAAGGAGGAAGGGTAGACGGAAAGGCTGGKRCGKCAGCTGCTGGTGAATGCCAGGCTCAGGCCAAACCAGGAGAGAACATTTGGTACAAATGCTGGGCTGTCGGCTTGCCCCTAAAAAAAGACTCCAGCTGTTGGCCACAGGGCTGCTTAAAAAGCCGGGCCTGGAACGAGAAAGGAGTCCTACCCTGCAGAGTGGGGGCAAGATCTGCTCCTGTGTGGCCGGAGTKGCGAGGCAATGTCCAGCACAACTGCAGCCTGAAAGCTGCTCGAGGCATGCCCAGRAGCACGGAGGGCCAAGAGCTGCAGCAAAGCATGCACAAAGTCCTCTTGGCTGTGGCCACGCCCAGATGGCTTCTTCTGAAATCCAAGCCCTCCTTTGGCTGCACTTTGACCCCGGATCTGGTCACCCCAGCAGTCCTTGGGCCTCATAGACACATTAGCATTGGGGAAGTTTTCCCCTTCTTAAAGCTTGACCCCGGATCTGGAAGGACTGGGACGGAGGCCCCAGCAGCCCTACTAAGTGCCTTAGCAGGTGAGCAAATTCACAAGGGCTGCAGAGGGATTCTGGGTGGGAGAGGGACAAGGAACAGGAGCAGATGCCTCAGCACTAATGGGAAATGTCCCCAAGGGCAGCTGCCCAGGAGACGGCGGAGCTTCTGGGAAAGTCCATCCAGTGAGTACAGAGCTACTAGGTGACATGAAAAAAACTGCAAATACTCCAAAAAAGGAAAAAGCAAGAAACCCTGAGACTCGGATCCTCCACGTCTATGTACTTACTGAGAACACGTCCACAGGTGTCCCAGGGCCTCCCAGGGCCGCAGCCTCTGTGCACACCCCTCCACCCCACACTCTTTCCTGGATCATGTGACAAGAGCCCCTATTGTCCTCGATGCCACCAGGAACATTTATTGCGTCCTTCCGACAGCTGTCATCATTGAGTGCAAAAACGTACGTCAGCACTGTCCCAAGCTCTTTGCGTTCTCTTCCCTAGACCCCAGGGTCGCCCCAGGAGGGAAGCCCCCGTTGGGCAGATGAGAAAACTGAGCCTAGTTTGTCCCAAGACCTGACAGCTGGCTGGTGACAGGAACCCGGCTGGAGACCCGGAGTCCCACCCAGGAAGCTGGCGCTGGTCAGACCCCCCTCCCGTGCCCACCTCTTCATTTAGTGGACACTGTCCCCCGGTCTCCACCAGGTCTGCGGGGGCGTGGCAAGGAAGAGGAGAGGAGGTCTTTGCTGGGATGGGGGAACCATTCCCGGGTCCCTGGGAGGGTCCCAGACCCCCAGAGTCCCCCCTGCCAGGGCCACCAACCTGATCCCAGGCCAGCGGGTGAGCTCTGGGGCTCTGGGGCTCCTGACTTTTAAAGACGGGCTGTTGGGCAAGGTGAGCTGTGACTTGCAGTGGGTTCGGCCCGACAGAGGCTCCTAACAGGTGTGTCCGTGAGCTAAGCTCAGGGATTCTCTGTGAACAAACAAGTCCGCCCTCGGGCGGCCCACGTTCTAGCAAGAGGAAGTCTCCATGAACCAGGAACTGTGGACAGAGGTGAGTCCCCAGGAAAGGTGGCTGGGCACAAGGCTGCAGGGGGGACCAGGTCTTGCAGGAGGTGGTGGCGGGTCTCAGGGAAGCGGACTCCACCAAGAAAGTGAGACCCGAGCCTCCTTCCAGTGCCAGGCCCCCCAAGAGCTGACCAGCAACCAGGAGACGCAGGGAGAAGGAGGGGCACGCGGAGAGGCTGGGTGTTCACCCGTAGCCCGAGGTGAGCTTCCGAGACAGATGCCGTCTGAAAGTCAGGCGGCCCSGAGGCTGGATTCTGGGACACAGAGTCCAGTCAGTGACGCACAGCCGTGGAATGAAGAGGTGCAAAGGACCCGGGGCCCATACCTATGTGGACAAAACCTGTTGTCCACTCCCAGAAGCCTCCATCCTACCTGCCTATCTGTGGGCCATGGGTCTGGATGAACTTGGACGCGGGATGTCCATCCGGCTTAGATTTAGAAGGCAATCCTTCCCATGCTTTCAGTGCTTAGGCATAAACGCATGAATCCCCGGAGTGCAATAGGGAGGGGTGGGGAGTATGGATCACCAGGCTGCGGCCTCTCTGGGGTCMTGACAGGAAACGGGCTTAAAATAAGCATCGATTTAGAAACTTGCCCGGAAGCTGATTCATGCCCCTCACCCCCCCACCCCCCCCAGAGGAGGCTTCTGGCTTCCCAGAAGAACAGTCTTGGTCTAGCTCAGACCAACTATGGAGGGGACGGAAGAGAGGCAGGAGGCAGTGGCAGCCCAGGGTCTGGGTGCGCATGAGGCCAGCGTCACGGGCAGGTCGTGGGGCCTGCAAAGGGGCCGCATCCTAAGGATCTTGCCCAAATCTGAGAGAGAAGGGGGCAGGCTCGGGGCTCTGGGTCAGAACACGCGGAAAGCTTTCTGTCCCCCACTCTGCCACCAACAACCCCCTGGGTGCTCTTGGAGAGAGAGTCACAAGCAAAATGTTCAGATAACACACCGACCGACGGCACTTTGAGAATGGAACCATGGTGTATTCGGCCTGAAAATGGCTCGGAGTCCTGTCTTTAAAAGGAGGGAACCCAGGTACATAGAGACCATCTCAGGGCACCAAGGAAGCCACACAGACACATGGCTCCCCTGGGGACAGCACCCAGAGGCCCAGGTCCCAGACACACAGTCCTGGAACCACATGTTTCTTGCCAGATCTAGACGTGGATGGAGCCCAGAGTCCGGGTGGCAGTCAGCTTCCTGTTACTGTAACAAACCCCGAGACCATCACCTGATAAAGAGAAAAGGTTGGCCGCTCACTGTTTTAGAGGTTTCCAGCTGGGGCTGGTGGCCCCATGGCTTTGGGCCTGTGGCCAGGTGGCACATGGTGGGGGAAGCCTAAGGCAGAGCCAAATGGCTCACCTCATGACCCGGAAGTGACAAGGGGGAGGGGACAGTGCTAGGTTCCCACTCTCCTCGTGGAGGGCCCGACCTCTACTAAAGACCTGCCTCTAGACTCCCAATAGCGCCACACTGAGAGCCGAGTCTTTAACACAGGCCTCTGGGTGGCCTTCCCTGTCCACGCTGCAGCAGCCTGTTGACGGAGAGCCTTCAGCGTGACCCAGAGGTGGCCGCAGGCGGGGCGAGCGCCGTGCCTCTGAGCCACAACCCGCCCCAGGTGCAGCTTTCAGCTCACAGCCTGACGGATGCACACCACGGGAAGGAGGACCTCATGGATCCACAGGCCCTCGGGCAAGCGAGGGCAGCAGGCGTCCCCGGTGGGGTCAGGAGCCCCCCAGGCTGGCAGAAGCTCGGCTCTGCGAGGGCAGGGCTGGCCTGTGTCCAGGGAGAACCTGTGGGAGAGGGAAAGGCTCGGGGGTGTCAACCCTTGTCGAAGCCAATGGCAGACGTGGAACCATGCCCAGAAGGGCCGAGGCAGGGCTTCAAGCTCCAGTGTGGTGCCAGGWCTCCACCACGCATGAGAGACTGCCCAGAGCCGAGAGAGAACTGGGAAGAAACCCATCAGCATCTCCACTGCTGGCCGCTCTAATTCTTGGTCCAAAGTAGGTACCTCTTGCTCTCTGCAGCCGCTGGAGAGCAGTTGTCGTTGACCGTAACGGAGGCCCATGGGAGTGGGGAGCGTGTCGCGTTTCCTTGGTGTGGGGGGCCAGAGTAAGGCCAGTGACCGGACCTCCAGCTGGGCACCCAGGGGACCACCGTCCACATTTCAAGTGCAGTCATTCCTCGGTGTTCAGGGGTAACCGGATCCGTGAGGTGCCCATAGACACAGTCTCTATGTGAAACGACGTGGTATTTGCTCCGACCCTCCATACATCTTCCTGGATCCTTCACATCATCTCTAAGTTACTCATAATGCCCAACGGGGTTAGATGGGGTGGAAGCGGTTGTCAGGGTGCCTTCTGATGAGGAATGACTCTGTACACGTTCCGGACAGACATTTCCTCTTTCCACTGGGTTCAGTCCACAGCTGGGGAACCTGTGGATGCAGCACCTGCAGGTAGGGAGAGCTGACMGGAGCCACGGAGCCACTGGGTGAAAAGCCATCTGCGAGCACTGGTCACGCAGAACAGAGTCGACAAATGAACGGCGACTGACCCAGTTGGAGACCTGGCCCAGTTCCTACGTGGAGTAGCTGGTGTCCTCATCCGAGCCACCTGGGCAACAAGCACAGTGGAGCCCTAGAATCCTCTGAGCACGTGTGGTCAGCACCTCCAGTGGGTGGCCTGGCAGATGAGGATCCTGCCCAAAACTGCCCACAAAGACAGGTCAGGACCCCTCTAATTCCGACAGGTCTGTTGGCCTGACTGCTACGGTTGAGGCTCCTCTGGGAGTCTGCAGAGGAAAAAGCAAAACTGAGACCCCTGGCCACCTCTGACACTCTCCCAGGGTGACACTCATCAGCCGGACTTTGTCTCACCCCAGATGGCAGGTAGACCAGATGGCCAGGCAAGCCCTGTCCTGTCCCAGGTGAATTGGGATGTCCCTCCCCAGACATCCAGGGCCAGCTCCATTTCTCCTTCTCCTGCCTGGGTCTCTAAGTGGCTCCTGCTGTGCTTCTCCCTGCAGAGCTGCAGTGGCGGGTTGTTTTCTGAGAAGACTATCTGTGGCCAACAGGTACTGTCTGGTAATGGATCTCGGCAATCTCTCCCAGACTCCTCCCTCCCATGGAAAGAACAAAGGGGGGGAAAATTCAGCCTGAGAATGGAAAAGGGGAGATCTTGCCTCGCAAGCTCACTTGAATTCACCTACTTTGTTCTATTTGGAGCATGCCAAGTGACTAATGTAAACGGCACGGCGCTAATGGGAAGCTAAGGTGGGCAGGAGGGTTTCTCAATGGATAATTGTGGGATTGGGGTTTTTCAGCTTTGAAAGAACACAAAGTGGCTGGAAAGTTTGTTGCTATTTTGGGTAAGTAGTTTCATGTTTTTGGACTTCATTGTGGAGCACTATTCAAACTCGTCAGGATTATAATGCCCAAGATTTGCCCAAGAACATTCTGGTCTTTGTCTTCCCATTTTTAAAGGATTTGATCAAAGGATGTTTTGCCCCCCTACCCTCGAGTTTGCAAACCCATTGTTAATAGTTCTTGCTCAGATTTGGGTTCTGTCTTTGCAAAAAAATTTTCCCATGGATACAGATAAGTTTATTTTATTGTTTTCACCTTGGTGCATCCTCAGTTACCATCCCACTATGCTTCCCCCCCGCCCCCGGAAGTTTTAGAAAAGATGAACTCAGAAGCATTGGGCAATGTCCACTCGTTTTGACCAGCAGAATGTAGGATCTAAGAGGTTGCATACAATGGCATTTAATTTTGTCTTAGAGATTTAAAAAAAAAAAATCCTTAGGTAGTCACAGCTGAAAGAAAAGAGGCAGAAAAACAAGAGAAATTGACTGATCAGACCGCTAAAGAGGATTTGGAACCTATCTGGGTCTGTGCAGAGTGCAGGGGTGACTTTCTGCAGTGACCTTGGCCATGAGCATTGACCAAGCACGGGTGGGAAGGAAGAGAGGCCAGGGGTCCTGTTTCCACTTGGAAAGTCACTTTGTTCTTCTCTTTCTCACAAGTGGCATTTAGCAAGCTTCCTTCCCAAGCTCAGACTAATGCCTTCTCCTAGAGTCCAGCCCCCCTCCCACCGTGTCCAGAGCCTTGCAAGGAGCCAGGCACCTGCGGACTCTGGGATCTGGTTCACCCCGAGGCCTCTTCCTCTCGGCCTCCCTCCCGGCCACCACCAGCCTTGGCAACCACAGGTCATCAGCTGTGAGTCAACCTAGGAAGAAGGGCTGAGGCCCCAGGAGCCCAGAAATGGTTTCTAGCTCTCCCAAAGTTGTGCGGTCCTGCACAAGCCATCAACAGTCCCATACCTCGTCCCTTGTCTGTCAGGGGTGCTCCAAGGAGGCCATTTGGTGACACACACACCTTGAGCATCCATTCCCGGGGCTGACAAAAGGTCAGGGACTGTCACTCGCACGGTTTCATATCAGGATCCCGGTCACCCGTGACCCCATTGGCTGGCATCTTGATGAATCCCGCGTGTTGGGGGCCTAGGAACCTTAAGCAGAAAAAAAGAGGTGACTGAGAAAACAGGGCAGGCAGCACYGCCGACAGCAGGAGCCAGATGCCAGGGGCTTCAGGAAGAGTCCAGGAAGGCTCGCTCGCTGACGTTGGCCCGCGGAGCGTTCATCCCCCACCCCCTGAWCAAAACCAGGCTCAGTGTTCCTCCCAGGACAGCCTCGGGGCTCGGCACCGTGAGGGAGATCGGCAACCACGGTGGGGCAGCTGTCCCTCACCCGGATCTCCACGCCCCGGGAGCCAGGAACCAGTGGCCACTTCCCCGGATGTAGGCAGCAGCCTGCCCAGGGCCTGGCTGACACCAGGAACTGACGTACTCACCTCCAGAGGGATGTACTTCTCAGCTGCGTGGCACCACGACGTGTCGACACCTGACACCGGCTACTGGTAAAGGAAATGTCCGTTGAGCTCACAGTTTAGGAGATTCGGAGTCCAGGATCAGGTGGCCCCCTTGGGCTGGCCACAGGTAAGTGTGGCCAGTGGTGGGACATCATGGCAGGAGCTAAGGGTCACATTTAGAACCGGAGCAGAGAGAGAAGCCAGAAGACCCCCAACTCTTAGAGTCTACAGCACCTCCCAACGTCACAGCCCCAGAAGCCAGCCTTTCCAAGTGGACTTTAGGGGACACTCAGAATCCAAATGGCAGCAGAGTGACTCTGAAAGTCCTACTCTTCCCACCCCCAGGGGATACCTCCGATACCAGGGCTGGCTCTTCTCAGTTCACAGTCTAGAGGCCCAGAGGATATGGGCTCAGGAGGCCAGAGATGTAAGCACACACTTTGGAATCCCATCTCTTCTTGTGCAGTCTAGGAAATGGATGTAACCCAGCTCCAATGACGTCACCAGAGTGGGTGTGGACCCAGCGACGGGTGGAGAAAAAGAAAAGGACACACAGGGCAAATAGTGGTGCAAAGAGAGGAAGAGAGTAGAGGATGGCCTCTACCCCTGTGCCGTGGAGTCTGCTTCTGTGCATCTGGACCCAAGGTGCCTCGAAGCCTCTGCTTCTTCTGCCAGGTGGGGACAATGACGCACGCAGCCCGGGCATCTCGAGGGTTGGCCCCAGTGATGTAGGAGATCCAGACGCTTGGAGAGAGGGCCCCGGGCAGTGAGGTTGGCCTCCATCCAGCGACCTCTGGGCGGAGGAAGAGAAGATCTGAGAAGGCGGCCGTGGCAGTGACAAACACCAGGATCCAGGAGGACCGGAGGACGAGTCACATCCCAGGTCCAGTTGGCTAGGACGGCCAGAGCAGAGCGCCTCACGCGGGCAGCCAAACAGCAGCCTGGGTTGCCTCCCGGTTCTGGAGGCCTGAGGTCAGAAGGAAGGACGTCAGCAGGAGTCCAAGCCCCTGGGACACTAAGCAGGACACTTGCTGCCTCTTCCTGGCCCCTGATGGTGGTGCCGACCCGAGGCATCCCTCCGTCTCTGTCTGCTCATGCCCCTCCCTCCCGTGTGTCTTTCTCTTTTCTCCTGAGGACAAAGGTCACTGGGTTCATGTGCACCCTAATGGCCTCGTCTGGRCTTGATGGCATCTGCTGAGCCCCTGTTTCGAAATCAGGTCGCACGCACAGGTGCTGGGGGACGGGTGAGGACACCAGCATGCCTTTTGAAGATTGCCCAACTCGGCCATCACGACCTCTGATCAGAGGGAGCCCCCTGCACCCACCCGTCCTCCCTGAGACGGACATTTACACAAACCATTAAACAAATGTCTCCTGGGATCCACAGTCTACGGTCCCCTCAGCATCTGTGACGTCCCCTTGGCTGGTCCTTCAAGGCCTCTAGCAGACAATGTTCCACTTTCCTGTAAAACATAGATCTCTTTCTACGAGATGCTGAAGAGCACAGGCAGCTCTGGCTGTCAACCCTGGTTAAATGCCTTTAAAACGGGACAGCTGAGTCAGGGTAGCCCATTTGCTATGGTCCCCAATCCCAGCATCGATGTAGGAAGGAGCCCTTTTCTATAACCCGCTGCCCTTGAGACTATCAGTCTGTAAACATTTTGCTCATGGGAGAGGCAGAATAATACCTCATCTTAACAGGACCATTTTTACTGGTAAAATTGAACTGCTTTTTATGTCATCTCGGCCTCTTCCGTTTTCATCGTCTTTGCCCACGTTTGTTTTTGTATTTATTTTATTTGCCAAGCTCTTTGTATATGGTGGACCCTAAGCTTCTATCTTTCACAGGGATGGCAAAACTTTCCCCCAGTTTTTCCTGAATCGCTCATCTCTTACCAGAACAAAATACTTAACTTTTAAGCAGCAAATCTGTCATTTGCAGAGGTCAGATCTGGGAGCCTTTAAGATATTCCTTTCTTCTTTTTGATGCTGGTTAAAAGCCATCTCTTACCCCAAATCACACAAACATGAGCTAAAATTGTTCCTGTTCCTCGTCAGCAATGTACTTTTGTTTGTCTGTGGTTTCAGGGTTGCAACCCAGGGCCTCCTGCATGGGGGCAGAGTTCGACCTCCGAGCCGCCTGCCCAGCCCCAGAACCCTGTCTTCAAAGGCAGATCCTGGCGCCCCCTGACCCTCTGCCAGCCACTGCCCCGAGGCAAGGCTGAAGGCCACCAGGGTGCCCTGGCTGTGGACTGGCATCTCCCTTTTCCTGGTACCGGTGACCCACAGTGGGACCCGGCTCCAGGAGCCTTCCCGTCCGGGTGCACAGATCCCGGGACGCCTTCCTTGTCTGTGGGCAGATTTCTGAGTTTTCCAGAAAGGAACTGCCGTCTCAGAGGCCGCTCACCCGGGAAGCGCGATGCACAGACGGCTGCCCCCAAGACAGGAGTGGAGGCCTGCACAGAGTCCTAGACGGACAGCCACCGTTCCTTCAGGCCGAGGGACACACCCTACGGCCCAGAAGGACAAGGGTCCCTTCCGGGGGGCGCGTCACCCCGGCTCTGCCTCAGAGGAACAGCACAAGCAAACGGGCATCTGAGCTGTTGGCGGCACCGAAGGCGGGGAGAGCCGTCCTCCAGGTACAGACGGCACCTGACCTCGGACGGCTCGGACGCTGGCCGGCCAGCCCCTGCCCTGCACACCCAGGGGGGGGACCAGTGGCCGGGCGGGGGCGGGGGAGCGCACCTGGCTGCTGTCCCCCACTGACCACCCTCAGGGGGGCCTCCCATGGGTTCCAGCCAGGGGAAGGCTGCTGCCACGGCGGCTGGCCTGGAGGCCCAGGTAGGCCTGGCTCGAGGTTCTTCGTCTCTTCCGCCAACTCGTCCCTGCAGCCCAGGGTGGCCACGGAGATCTGGTGGACACCCACTGCAGCTGGGTCCTATGGCAAGGTCCCAGCCTCACTCTTCCCCTGCTTGGGGCTGTCAGAGGCTCTCCAAATTCTTCTCCCCACACAGCTGCCTGTTCTTGCGCGCACACACACACACACACACACTCACACAGAGAAGGTAAGTCACTTAAACCCTTGGAGTCTCTGGTGATAACACCAAGGTCACATCAGCCCCAGGCTATTTCTGCCCCTCGGCCAGTCGGTACTCAGGCCCAAGACAAAAGTCACTCAATCTCAGGGCCTGGATGTCCACCCTGGCCTGGCAGCCACAGGGCCTTGGCACCTACCATTTCTTCTGTCTGGAACAACTCCACAGTGCCGCATCCCCAGGTCCCTGCCCCTGGCCCTGTGCCTCTCGACTTGGTGTCCTCTTGTTAGAGGAGACTTCCCGCGGGCATCCCCTGCCCCGCCCTGGCCTGCACCCTTACAGAAGCACCTTCATCACACGTGGGGATTCTGCCCTGACCTCCGACAACCTCTCCAGGTCCTTTCCACACCCCAGCGTCCACTCCTCCCAGGACGGGCTGTGCCCCTGGAGTCTGTGAAAGCCTGGCACATAGAGCACATCGGGTGCGTGGGACCATACCAGGGACCCCTCTGCCCGACGCCCAGCCTGCTCCGTGCCCGGCCGCTGGTCCTCCTAGCACAGGAGCTCTCTAGATGGCCAACCCCGGTCCTGACCCCATTTGGGTGCTGGCTGGATCTCCTGACCCTTCTGTTCCCAGTGTCAAGAGAAAGCAGGACAGCTCCCCTGTGCGGATCCCGAGGTTCAGAGTCGACCTGGGGAGCCTGAGCGGCGTCCTTCCTCTCGGGCACATCAAGGCTGCCTTGACTCCTCCATCAACACGGCCTGCCGCCTGGGTCTTGGGCCCACACAGGAACTGTGACAGAAGTCCTGCAGCTCCTACCCCTCGAAGAGGTCTGGGTGGCTGAGGTCGCACCCTGAAGCGGTGGGTGTCACACCCTCACTGAAGCAGACGATTTTCTGACTTTCAAGAGAAATGGGAACTGGAAAGCGGCCTTGGCCCAGCCTGGCTTGTCCTCGCTGTGAGCTGTGAAGGGGGCTCTGGGGACAGCCAGCCCAGCGCGGCCAGAGGCATCACCTGTGCCCAGCAGACCTCCGTGGAGAGCGGCAGGGCCAGGCGGCGGCACCCAAGCCAGGGCGTCCCACGGGGGAAGGCAGCCAGGGCCTGCCTCCCAGGGCCTCCACAGGACACGGCTCCGGGGCGGTGGCACTGCGACTCGGGGCCTCCCTGGGAAGCACCGGAGGCCATGTCCCTTCTTCTGCAGGCCACGGGCAGAGCAGGACTTTCAGCCCACGTGTGCTGAGGGCCAACTGGGGCAGAGGGCACCATCTGGGAACAGCGGGGACTGGAGCTTGGTCCTGCCCCGGAAGGAGCCACGTGGAACCACAGGGGACAGGCCAGAGCAGGGCCACCAGAGGCAGCAGGGGTTTCCAGGGCTGGTCCTGCGTCTGGTCAGAACCAAGAGCCCTGCCTGAGGCCAGGCCTGGACCTGGCCCCGGAGACTGCCCCAGAGAGGGTCCCAGTGACAGAGAGATGGCACCAGCAGTCACTGCACAGACCTGAGCACGGAGGTCTCCTTGTGGCCGCTGACCACCGCTGGTCACCCACAGGGCCCAGTGCAGGACGTGAGTATCTGTTCAGATATTAAGAACTGCAAGATGGCGGCAGGTGAGCACCCGGCAGGTCAGGGCCTGGGTGACCRCTGCGTGCAGGAAGCCACCCAGGACCCACACAGTGCTGTCCGCTCCCCGAGAAACTCCATCGGGGCACCCGTGGCCTTGCCATCAGGGCTGATGCAGCAGGGCCCAGGCCCCCCTTTCCGGGACCCTGGAAGCAGCACATGGGCCCCACCACGCCCTGGCTCACGTGGCCCACCACGCCCTGGCTCACGGCCCCACCACGCCCTGGCTCACGTGGCCGTGGGCCTTCCTGAGTCCTTCATGGACTAGGAAGGATCCGTTGGGAGCACCCAAGGGTGCAGGAGAGGAGTAGGAGGGCTCAGTGGGGGGCCGGAGCCCATCTTCCCAGGGGCCACACCCACCTCCGCCTCTCCCCCCCCTCCGTCTCCCTCCGGACCCCCCCCAGGACCCACCCGTCTTTGACCTGGTGTCCCCGCCCCTTGGACTCTTCACTCTAGAAGATCCTTTGTCAYCCTCGCGTGCGACTCCACAGCAGACACGAGCGAGGCTCAGAGGATGTCAGCCGGCAGGGGGCTGTTGTCCCTGTCCCCAGGGCGCGGGCAGTTCCCCAGCCTGATGCCGCTGGGCTGCAGGCTCATCAAAGCTGGCGAGGCTTGGAGCCAAAGGTGTCAGGGTGCAGGCCAGCAGAGAGCCCGGGCCTGCCTCGGTCAGTGGCCACCCAGTGACCCACTGCGGAGGGTCAGACAGCAGAGCTCACGGGTGGCTTTTCCCTAAAGCAGCGCCCGATCTTGACCACTCGGGTAAAGGCCAGCTTCCTCCGTGGTGCCCTGGGCCTGATTTCAACACCAGGGGGAAACGCCCGGGGAGGGAAGAGCCACGCGGGATCCACGGCGCTCAGGGCTCCGCGTGCACAGGAGGCACGACACCCCAGGAGTCTCTGAGGCCACGGGAACCCAGAGCGGGGGTCTCCCCCTCGCCCACTGGACTTCCCCAGCCTCGGGGGCCTGTTGTGGCTGAGATGTGGGGTGTGTGTGAGACMATGCGGGAGGCTCAGAGGAGAAATGGTGGTGAGGAGTTGGTCCCCTGCTGGGAGTCGACTGAGTGGTGACTGAGGTGGTGGGTGGGCTGGAGGGTGGCAGTCGGGCTGTGGCCGTGGGGTCGATATGGTATCTGGAGAGTGGAGTCTCCTCTGCTCCTTGGTCACCCTGTGGGCTGCTCCCTCTGCCACCCTCTTCCTCCACGATSTCCTGCCTCACCTTGGGCCCAAGGCATGGAGCCTGCTGTCTGTGACTGAGACCCCTGAACCGTGAGCCCTCAGATCCACTCTTCCTCCTGCCACAGTTGTTCTGGTCGGGTCCTTTAGTCCCAGCAGTGAGAAAGCCGATCCAAACAGCACCCAGGGTCCCCTCATAYGCCCGAATGGCCACGGTGGCCGCTCGGTTGTCCACCTGAAATTCACCTCTGCACCCCAAATCTAGCAGAGCATGGCCTGCAGGAGACGACCGTGTGGTAGCTCCTTTTGAGGGGCCTTTACCTCCAACCCTGGGAGACCAACAGCCTCCGCCCTGACTTGGAACATTCCCGAGCCTCCACCCCTGGACCACAGCTCGAGGGCAGGAGCCTGAGGGCAGGAGGCTCTCTRACCCATCTCAGGCCCCACACTGCCCAGCCCAGTCCCCCGGCTATAGCAAGAGCTCCCACATACCTGCAGGGGACGGTGAGCACCCCAAATGTGCAAGTGGGAGCCCAGCAGGAACCAAGGGARGAGGGCATTCTGTTCATTCCAGAATGTCCCCTGGAGGCCACCCATGCTCCTTGACATCAAAAGGCAAGCCTTCGGAAGGACCCCGAGGGGCACGGTCCTCAGCAGACGCACACAAGCCCTGCAGGATCTCCTGGAAACAGGCCTGCCAGACGCAGGCTGGGGTCCCCAGGAGCCCAGGGTCTGGGCCAAGTCCCAGCCTCCACCCCACCCCTCTTCCTTCCTTGGCCACTGACTGCTCCATCAGATGCTCTAGGGGAGGCCATACTCAGATTCACCCTTTTCCACGTGAAAATATTCCATGAACAAGATTTCTGCTTTGTCCATTTGAGCGTCTTCACTGGTCTCATAAACATTGGGGAAGTACCTCATCTCTGTTGAGCCCTGGTCTTGCCTCCAAAGAGTATGTCAGGTTGAAAGAGGCACAGCCTCTGCCCACCAAGGTTCACAGTCCCAGAGGACAAAATGCCAGCCGGGCACAGTGGTGCGTGCCTGTCATCCCAGCAGCTCGGGAGGCTGAGGCAGGAGGATAGA